AGAACACCATAAAAATTCTAGAAGAAAACCTAGGCAATACCATTCAAAACATAGGTGGGTAAGGACTTCATGACTAAAATATCAAAAGCAATGGCAACAAAAGCCAAAATAGACAAATGGGATCTAATTAAACTTAAGAGCTTCTGCACAGCAAAAGAAACTATCAGTAGAGTGAACTGGCAACCAACAGAATGGGGAAAAAAATGTGCGATCTACCCATGTGACAAAGGGCTAATATCCAGACTCTTTGTAGAACTTAAACAAATTTACAAGAAAAAAAAAAAAAACCTCGTCAAAAAGTGGGTGAAGGACATCAACAGACACTTCTCAAAAGAAGACATTTATACAGCCAATGAACATACTAAAAAAAGCTTATCATAACTGGTCATTAGAGAAATGCAAATCAAAACCACATGGAGACACCATCTCATACCAGTTAGAACGGCCATCATTAAAAAATTGGGAGACAACAGATGCAGGACAGGATGTGGAGAAATACGAACGCTTTTACACTGTTGGTGGGAGTGTAAATTAGTTCAACCATTGTGGAAGACAGTGTGGTGACTCATCAAGGATCCAGAACTGGAAATACCATTTCATCCAGCAATCCCATTACTGAGATATGCCCAAAGGATTATAAATCATTCTATTATAAACACACATGCACACATATGTTTATTGCGGCACTGTTCACAATAGCAAAGACTTGGAACCAACCCAAATACCCATCACTGATAGACTGGATAAAGAAAATGTGGCACATATACACCATGGAATACTATGCAGCCATAAAAAAGGATGAGTTCACGTCCTTTGCAGGGACATGGATAAAGCTGAAAACCATCATTCTCAGCAAACTGACACAAGAACAGAAAACCAAACACCGCATGTTCTCACTCATAAGTGGGTGTTTAACAATGAGAACACATGGACACAGGGAGGGGAACAGCACACACCAGGGCCTGTTGGGAAAAAGGGGACTAGGGGAGGGATAGCAGGGGATGGAGGGATAGGGAAAGGATAACATTAGGAGAAAATCTAATGTAGATGATGGGGTGATGGATGCAGCAAACCACCATGGCACATGTATACCTAGGTAACAAACCTGCACACTCTGCACATGTACCCCAGCTAGTTCCAGACAGGTGTAGCATTACTATATAATATTATTTTAATAAAGAGGTAGCCATCACCTTTTCCCCACGTTTTCTCCTTGTAAAATATTAAAATACTGCATAGGTCCCCTTTGACAATTGCCTCATCTTAGTCCCTCTTCCCTCTTCCCATGCAGTAATCACAGTGGCTGTAGTAAATCTACGTTACAAGTCTTTTTTGTACGTCTATGCACATATTTACGTAGCCACAGAAAATCAGAGTATTGTATATGCTGTAACAATATGAAAGACTATATGGCAATGAGAAAAGCTTAAAATCAGGATTATTGTTACCCAGGTATAGGGCAGAGATGGGGGTCAGGGTGAGCATGTAGGACAGTGGAAGGAACAAGGAATACATGTTAAATCTCTTCCCTTTTTACTTTTTAAAGATTTTTAAAATATATTACTCCCAGTAAGTGTTTGGTTAAACGATCATAAGACATTATAGGTAGAAATGTAAATTGGCAGAGTTTAGTCTGGACAGCTCCAAATCTTTTGGTAGTATTTTATTTCCTATCCTAGGTGGCAGAGAACAAGTGTGCATCATACTGTTTTGTAATTCTTTTAAGAAAACAGAAGTCAAAATGAACATATCATCAGCAACCTGATTTATTTACTCTACAATGTAGAGATCTATTTCTGTGGACTGAATCATGCCCACCCAAAAATTCATTTGTTGAAGCCCTAGCCCTCAATGTGATATATTTGGAGATGGCCCTTTGGGAGATAATCACAGTTGGATAAAGTCATGAGCGTAAGGTCCTCTTGATGTTATTAGTGTCTTTATAAGAAGGAAATGTTTCTCTCTCAATATCCCCTTCCCTACACCCCATTTCTAGTATAAGAGCACAATGAGAAGACAAGCTAGAAAAGGAACCCTCACCAGAAACCAAACAGGCTGAAACCTAGATCTTGGACTTATTAACTTCCAGGACTGTGAGAAATACAATTCTACTGTTTAAGCCACTAAATCTAAGGTATTTTGTTAAGGCAGCTCAAGTAAATTAATTCTAACAGTAAGTCATGGTGCCATACACAAATGTTTCTCTCCTTTTTTCTAATGCCACAGGATATCTAATAATATAACTAGAAAATGGTTTATTTAGCCACTGATGGATATTTAGGTAGCTTACATGTTTATACTCTACAAGCAACAATGCTATAGCCTTCTTGTGCTGTACAAGCCTTCTTGTGAAGACATTTTGTCTCAGGATAGAAATGCTGGAGCATACAATGTCCATTTTCAATTTGTATTTAATAAATAACATCAAAATGTCTCTCAACTGGTTTTTTATGTTCCCATCAACAGCAGAAGAACCTGTTTTCCATGCCCTGAAAACTGCATATTGCTGGTCTTTGTTAATTTTGCTACTTTAAAAAGATAAAAATATTGTCCTTTTTTTTTTACTAATAATTCCTTGATTAATATTATTGGGTACCTTTTCATGTATTTATATCCCATTAATTTTTTTCCCATGAATTGCCTATTTATATCCTTTACTAATTTTTAAAATTTGGGTTGTCTTTTTCTTACTGATATTTTATAGTTCATAAACACTTTGGATAATTTTTTGTTTGCTACATATCCTGCAAATAATTCTTCTCAGTTCCAAAGGTCTTTTAATTCTGATCATAGTATCTTCAGTTGTATCACAGGTATATATCTTTACTTGTCATATGTTTCAATACTTAGCCTTATTTTTTATCTTAATAAATTTTTTGCTGCCTCATAGTCATAAGAATACTCTTCCATATTTTTTCCTAGTATTTTTATACTACACTTTTTTACTTTTGGGTTTGGGCTTTTTCTTAGTGATGTGACATCGGAATTTAAGTTCTTGGACTAGGTAGTCAATTGTCCCAACACAATTTATTTAATATACCATTCTTTTTCCCCCACAATGATTTGAGATGATAAGTTATCATAGACCAAATTCCCTCATGCACTGAGGGCTTCTAGACTTGGAGTTCTTATTCATCTTTTTATCTATACCTATTATCAACCTGTTTCAATTACTACAGTATTATATAAAAGTATGCTATCCATTAAGTACATCCAACTCTTTAAGCTGTTTACAACTGTCTTGACTATTTTTGAACACTTGTTCCTCCATACAAATTTGAGAATCTGCTTGGTAAATGCCATGAGGAGTGGGGGCAATGGGATTATGATAGATTTGTAGGTGAACTTCAAAATACTTTTTACACTGTTTATGCTATTTTTCTTGCCACCAAACAACTACATCTTTTCCTCCCTACTGGGTACATGTCTTCTAAATTGTTTAGTTCATGTTAATTAGGTTCTACACACAAAAGGAAATATTGGGTGAAAGAACACAGTCATGTTTAAATATACATTACAGAGAATATAAATCCAGAGCCAATCTCTTTGCACTTAATACTCCCTTAAAAAGGTATGGATAGAAGGACTCTGTGTGTACCTACTGAACAAACACTTAGCAAATTTTGGGCTGGTACTTTCATATAAGTCAAAAAAAATAGGATGGGTTTAATATAAATCATGAGAGAAGCACATGTAAGATTATTTTAATCACTTTTCTCATTTTCAGAGTTATCAGGAAACTTACTGAAATCAATCCAACACATATTAGAAATGATCTCAAGAAATCAGATTTGCTTTCCCTTACCATTGCTTTATCAAAAACATATAATATTAAAAATTAATATTTGAGAATGTTTTCGTAATTGACTCTCTAGTGCAATAATTAAACTGGGACATATATGATTAAAATCTTAAATCTATCTGGGTAAAGGATTTAACATTTTTTTAAACTATATTAATTTATTTTCTGTGACTTCAAAACACAGTAGAATCAAACAAAGTAATTCCTACAGCACTACCTGTAATACCTATAGGTACCACAACTTTGCTGAACAAAGAACATTCATGTAACCTCCACAACCAGGCATGCTGAGCATAGACTAAGTATGACATGGTATTAAAGCATAAGTTTGAATATTGTTAGGCATGCTACCACTACAGCGGCTATGCTTTGCAAACACAGAATTACTTAGAAAACTATTTAAGGGTAAACTACAATGTCAGGGATTTGCTTAAAAATGCTATAGGGGCCAGGTACATTGGCTCGTGCCTATAATCCCAGCTCTCTGGGAGGCCAAGACAGGAGGGTTGCTTGAGTCCAGAAGTTTGAGACCAGCCTGGGCAACACAGCAAGACGCCACATCTATAAACAATAAAAATAATATCTAGGAAAGGCAGCAAATGCATGTAGTCCGAGCTACTCAGGAGGCTGAGGCAAGAGGATCTCTTGAGCTCAAGAGGTCAAGGCTGCAGTGAGCCATGACCGTGCCACTGCACTCCAGCCTGGGTGACAGAGTGAGACTCTGTCTCAAATAAAATAAAATAAAATAAAATAAAATAAAATAAAATAAAAATAAACAAAACCAAAAAACCCTATAGGAAAAAAACTGAGATGCGTGAGACAGATGAAGAACAAAACACTGGAAATTACTGGACCTGGATAGCAGGTTCATAAGGGCTATTTACTATATTCCATGTACTTTCATTCTAAAAACTTCTCAAAATTAAAAATTATTTCAGGCTCCAACTATAATGTGCAAGTTTTTTTTAAGTTTCATAATAAAATGAGCCCAATTGAGCACTGATCCCCTTTCTGCTTTAATCCATAATATTCTATTCCATCCAGGACTTTATCAGTTGTACAAAATGTTCCAAGATCACAGAACAAAGTTTGTCTTCTTCTCAAAGGCATGCTACCTGGTTTGTAACCAACAGCATCAGCCTTCTGTGGATAAAAATGCACTAAAGACAGGAAAAGTCAGGAAGAACAAAGTGGTTACCAGGGAGGAATTCTGCCAGCTGAGAGCTTGCCCTTCTGCCCTTCACATAACAGTCTGTTCGCAACTGAGACTGGGTTCTTGATTCCTATAAAAAAAAATTGGCAAAAAAGATGTCAGAAATGTCTTCCAGTTTCCCACTCAGTTTTGCAGTTGTTTCAGTAAAACAACTCAAATATATTTTGGAAATTCTTTTTTGATATATCAAGTAATACTAATGAAAACCCTTAATAATCATGAGCAATAAGAGTTAAATCAAAAAATGTATGGAATACCTAGTAGAAGAAGAAAAGAACAGATATGAAATACATATTCTAATGTTTTGTCATGTGCTAAAGAAGCAAAGGCTGAATTGAAATACTACATATTTAAATTAGGTTCCTTTTTAATAGGTTTCAGAATAGTTTTTAAAATGAACTGAAAATGTGGTATTCTCCTACTATCAAAACTATATATATGCTCCAAGCATTTAGTGGCTACAAAACTGTAAATTCCCTTTAAAGGATAAACATGATTATAAACAGCTTTAAACTGACCTTGGAGAGAAAAATTAACAGGAAAAAATAAGCCAAAAATTTTAAATGTCACCTGCGAGAGAGACAGAACAGGGGAAATGTCCTTCAAATTGGGTAAGGCGGGGGAAGAGACCAAGTGTGTAAAAGACTGTAACCTACAATGTGGTTCAGATTGTTTCCAGGAGGCTAACCAGCATGTACAAGTGAGGCAACAGTCCTCATCCAGGAAAATGACAGGACAGTATGAGTGTGATAAACACTGTCAGGATGACAATGACAAAGACAATAGCAGTGATGATGACAATAACGATGATGGCAGAAGGCAATGAAAGTAACTACTTCCTAACACGCTCTAGGCCCAGTGCCAAATTCTAAAATGTATTGGATGAATCAGCTGATCCTTCAATTCTGTCATATAACCACACTTATTAATCCTAGCGGATTAATAAGAAAACATTTATACAGAGGGTTAAGTTGCCTGTCCAAGATCACAGCACTGAGTTTTAACACAGAAGCAGCTAGTATCAGAGACCACACCTTTCATCACTAATCTATGCCTATCTTTCAGGACATTATGAATACAAACAAATAATCAGTGGGATATAAAGAGACTACAAAAATTTAAATTAAGGCTAACAGATGACTCCAAGCAAAACCAACTGCAGAAATTTAGCTCAATATCAAATCTTCCACAAAAAAGTATGAAATACAAAACAAAAAAAGAAAAACCTAAATCAGGTATCTTTGCTAGTTCTTAATATATTTCTGGATGTGATGATTCAATATCGTAAAGACATTAATCTTTTCCAAGTTAACTTATAAATCCAAATCTTTATAAATTCTCCATCAAAACTTTCAAAAGGATTTCCATGATGCATAAGAAGCTGACTCTTAAATCAAGAAAACTTTGAAAAAGAAAAATGAAGAGGTATATTTACCCTGCAAGATATCATTTTTTATTTGAAGCTATTATAATTAAAAAACAGTGGTTCAGTACAAAATAAACAAATATTATCAGTGGAATAGAATAAAACTAAAGTTCAGAAACAGACACTTGTGAATTTAGGTATTTAATATATAATACGCCTAGTATTTCAAATCAGTAGGAAAAGGATAAATTACATATAAGAGGGAGAAAGAACATAGGTAAAAGCCTAGGAGTCAGACTACTTTGTAACTGTTCAGTTAATCAATTTATTGCTTCTCAGCTACAAATTCACCCTTTGTTGCCTGATGTGTGAAAATGGATATGGGCCCTGTAAGTATGTTTCATTTGCCAGCTAGCGCAATGGGTAAACTTTGTCAGTACAGGACACTGAAGAAACACTGTAGGAGGAAAGGGTATCTTGCTCACCAGGCTTCACTTTTGGCCCATGTGGTATTCTCCTGTGCTAAGTGCCCACCCACAGGGAGCAGCTTTCTCCAGCATTTGAACACCGCGTTTTCTCCAGCTCCTGATTTGTGCCATAGCAGCATAGCTGAGAGCTCCAAAAAGAATAAGATCATACTCCATCCAGGTCATTGATCCCCACACCCACTCCTCAGCCCCACAGGCACACATAACAAGTGTTCCATGGGGTGCCTGTGAAGCCAGCCAAAGCCCAATCTTTATCCTGCCCAAGGGAGGTTTAATTCCCACAGCATCTTGACCTCTGTGTGCCCACTTCCCAGCCTGATCATCCCTTTGCCTCACAGGATTGACCCTGCTCACCAATGACTGTAGACCAGCTCTGGCCTGGGTAAGCCGGCAACTTCTCTGCCATACAGTGGATGACAGCCATACCTTCTTCAATGAGGTATGAACCTACTTCCAAATGTGTTCATCTCTGAGTATTCTCCCCCTGCTCTAGAATACATTTTTGATTTGTATTCCCATGTTTATAGTTCTGTTTGATGTTTATAGAGTTACTCTCCTATCACTGCTTAATAACTCTTTATATTAAATTTATATTTAAACTACGGTATGGTTTCTGTCTTCCAGTTTTACCCAGACGAATACAATGTCCTTGGACAAACTACTAAATCTCTCTTGTGTCTCAGTTTCCTCATCTGTAAAGCATAGACCTCATACGGGTATCATGAGAACTAAATGATTTAAATATGTAAAACGCTGGGCCAGGCACGGTGCCTCATGCCTGTAATCCCAGCACTTCTGGGAGGCTGAGGTAGGCAGATCATCTGAGGTCAGGAGTTCAAGACCAGCTTGGCTGACATGATGAAACCCCATCTCTACTAAAAATACAAAAATTAGCCAGGTGTGGTGGTGCACACCTATAATTCCAGTTACTCAGGAGACTGAGGCAAGAGAATCACTTGAACCCAGGAGGCGGAGGTTGCAGTGAGCCAAGATAGCACCACTACACTCCGGCTGGGGCTGACAAAGTGAGACTCCATCTCATAAATAAATAAAATAAAATATGTAAACCACCGTAGAACAATGCCTAGGGTGTTACAGTCATTCAATAAACTGTAGTTATTGTTATTCAATTAACTATGTAGGAAAAATTTTCAGTCATTTCAGAAAAAGCAAACAATGCATTGAGGTAAATGAAAAATAAACTATACATGTGTTAGAAGAAAATACAGTTAAATTATGCTTATAAATTATGAGGGCCTTTAAGAAATACAAAATACAATAGCCACAAAAGAGAAAGTAGTAAGTTTAACAAATAGAAATGCTAATTCCAATATGATTAAGGATATTATAAACAGAGTTAGATATTATAAACAAAAGAGAAAGCAGTAAGTTTAACAAATAAACATGTTTAATTTCAACTTGATTAAGGATATTATAAACAGAGTTAAAAGACAAGTTAAAACACAAGAGGTATGAACAGGTAGTACACGAAGAAATGTTAATGGCCTTCAAACGCACAAAATTGTATTAAATACCAATAAAATTTCATAATAAAAGTTAAAATTAAAACTAAGTAGACCATGCTTTCTTAACTATCACAAAAAAGAGAAAGGATATAAGGCCGGGCATGGCGGCTCACGCTTGTAATCCAAGCACTTTGGAGGCCAAGGCGGGCAGATCACCTGAGGTCGGGAGTTCAAGACCAGCCTGACCAACATGGTGAAACCCCATCTTTAAAATAAATAAATAAATAAGAGAAAGGATATAAAAGATCAACACAAATAAATAACCAAATTGACCTAAGTGACACATACAGAGCACTGCACCCAACAACTCCAGAATACATACTCTTGAGTATGTATTCCTTTGAAGTTCACATGCAAATTTACCAAAACAGACTATAAGCTGGGCCATACAGCAAGTCTCTAAAAGCTTCAAGGGATTGGTACCACACACAGTATAATCTCTGGCCATAGTGGAATTAAACTAAAAATCAATAAAGAAAGCTAACTAAAATGTTTTTAGGCAAATAAACTTGACAACTCATATGAAATAGACTAATTACCAGAAAAACACACATGAAAAAGAAAATATAATCATATAAATTTAAAAACATTGAATCCTACTTTTTAAAACTTCCCACAAAGAAAACCCCATTAATTTGAAATAATTTATGAATTCCTTCAAACAATTAAAAAAGAAATTATTCCAATTACATACAAACCTTTTCAAAGAATGGGAAAAAAATTCCAAACTCATTTTATGAAAGCAGCCATAACATGGTACAGAAACAAACTATCACACATACAGTCACCTCATTTCCCAACACAATTCTGTGAGAAAAAGACTTCCTTTCAATAGAGGCCAATAGACCATTTGGATATCCATATTAGAAAATGAATAAATAAATGTTGACTCCTATGTTATATATTCAAAAATTAATCTGAGCTTGATAAGAAAGCTAAATGTGAAGGATAAAAACAATAAAATTACTGAAAGAAAAGAATGAAGACAATCTTCACAACTTTGAGCAAACAAAAACTTCTTAAAATACGAAGAGTTAATCACAAAAGAAAAGGTTGCTAACTTAAACTTCATTAAAATAAAAAACTTCTATTCATCAAAAGACAGCATTAAGAGACTGCAAAGGCAAGCCATAGACTGAGAGAAGGTATCCATAATACATATATCTTACAAAGCTATTTATATATTTGTATGTAAAATACATAAATACTCCAACAAATCAATGAATTATATAATCAAATAAAAATCTGCGGCGGGAGCGTAGAGTAGCCCGTGCATTCCATTCCAAGGCCTCTGTGTGCCCGCGGAGTAGCCATCATGAGCAAAGCTCACCCTCCCGAGTTGAAAAAATTTATGGACAAGAAGTTATCATTGAAATTAAATGGTGGCAGACATGCCCAAGGAATATTGCGGGGATTTGATCCCTTTATGAATCTTGTGATAGATGAATGTGTGGAGATGGCGACTAGCGGACAACAGAACAATATTGGAATGGTGGTAATACGAGGAAATAGCATCATCATGTTAGAAGCCTTGGAACGAGTATAAATAATGGCTGTTCAGCGGAGAAACCCATGTCCTCTCTCCATAGGGCCTGTTTTACTATGATGTAAAAATTAGGTCATGTACATTTTCATATTAGACTTTTTGCTAAATAAACTTTTGTAATAGTCAAAAAAAAAAAAAAAATCTGCAAAAGATGCCAACAGGCACTTCTCAACAAGGATACCTAAATGGTCAATAAGCATATGAAAAGGTTCTTATAAGTCACCAGGAAACCTCGAATTGAAACAATAATACCACTACACATATATCAAAATGGCTGAATTTTAAAAGTAATAATAATACCAAAAATTGGCAAAGATGCAGTGTAACTGAAATGCTCCTATACTGCTAGTGGGAGTCTAAATTGCAACAATTATGTTTGAAAACCAGCAGTATCTATTAAAACAAAACATATATGCATATGTACCTAAAGAAGTACATATGTGACCAGGCACGGTGGCTCACACCTGTAATCCCAGCACTTTGGGAGGCCAAGGCTGGCAGATCACTTGAGGTCAGGAGTTCAGGACCAGCCTGGCCAACATGGTGAAACCCTGTCTCTACTAAAACTACAAAAATTAGCTGGGCGTTGTGGTGGGTGCCTGTAATCCCAGCTACCTGGGAGGCTGAGGCAGGAGAATCACTTGAACCCAGGAGACAGAGGTTGCAGTGAGCACAGATCGTACCACAGCACTCCAGCTTGGGTGATAAGAGTGAGACTCCATCTCAAAAAAAAAAAAGACATGTAAAATAATATTCACTGAAGCTTTACTCATAAAAGTAAAAAACTAGAAACTTCATATGTCCATTAAAAGAAGAGTAAATACATAAGTTACAGTATATTCACTCAATGAAATACTATTAAGTGGTAAAAAGTAAAAATCTACCAACACAAAACATGGATCCATCTCACAGGCATAACATTAACCAAAAGAAAACAGACACAGAAGTATCTCATTCCATACATGTAAATTTTAGGAACAGGCAGATTAATCTGTGGTACCCAAAGTTAGCATGGGGGAGGAAAGCACAAGAAGTATGGAACAAGGAGAAGTGCCCTTCCAGGATTATGAAAATGTTCTACATTTTGACATGGAAATGTTTAATGTCTTGATCTAGGTGGTAACTTATGTGGCTGTAAACATCTAAAAATTCATGAAGCTATACACATAAAATACATTTCATGTATATTTTGCTTGAAAAGAAATGATTTCTAAAACATGAGACATATATTTTATGTACTGATGTGGAAAAAATCTCCAAAACATTATATTTAAATCTAAAAAGTTTATAATTAACACATTTATTTTTTAAGAAAACAAATACAAGCACAAGATAAAACTGTGGTTCTACATAAAAATATAGATAAAAGCAATGTATTTTTACTGGTTAAACCCAAGGGGGAAACGAAATGAGAAAGAAAAGATTTGGAGGATCAAAGGTAAATTGTATTTATATTACTTTAAATATTTTACAACAAAAAATATAATGTGTATTTCAAATTTTAAAGTTAATATTCTAAATCAGGTCTTAAATGTTTCTAATCTCTCAAAGGGATAGAGGATAATGATCAAATTCTACTCAAAAACTACTTATAATTAAGATTTTATATCTTAAATTCAATTTTAAAAAAAGAACATTTGTGAGCCAGACACGGTGGCTCACGCCTGTAATCTTAGCACTTTGGGAGGCTGAGGTGGGTGGATCACCTGAGATCAGGAGTTCAAGACCAGCCTGGCCATCATGGTGAAATCCCATCTTAAAAAAAAAAAAAGAAAATTTGTTTTAAACACTATTCCAAGTAGGAATGGTGAAAAAGACTGTAATCATCTTTAGAAGGCATGAAATGGTCACGTGCATAGTTTTCCAAGGATAGTAGGTCATAATGCCCACATACCACTCAGTGCTCCAACTGCTCCAAAATTTAAGGATTTTCCATCCATTATGCTGGCATCACACTCAATTTCACCTAACAGATTTAGATTAGATCCCATTCCTGCATTTGTAAAAGGAGAATCCTAAAAGACAAAAACAAAAATTAAAATATCATTAGTCTTAAAAAAGCATTAATGCCAATCCTTCATGAAATTTTCTAAAAACTAGAAGGTAAGAGAATACTTCCCAACTCATCGTATGATGTCAATACTACTCTGATGTCAAACATGACAAAGATATCAGCAGGAAAGTCAGATCAATATGCTTTGTAAATACTGATTTAAAAAAAAAAAGTCATCAAAGAAATACCAGCAAACCAAATCCAGCAAAATATAACAGAGGCTGAATATCACAAGCAAGAGGAAAACAAGATTGGTTTAATATCTGAAAATCAGTGTAATACTCTGTATTAATAAAACACAGGGAAAAACATGATCATATCAAAAAACACAGAAAAAAGGTATTTGACAAAATCCAACATCCTTTCACAAGAAAAACAGAAACAGATAAGGAAAATTCTTTAACTTGATAAAGGGGATTAATGAAACGGCCAGGCCAGGCACAGTAGCTCACACCTGTAATCAAACACTTTGGGAGGCCAAGGTGGGAAGATCACCTCAACCTAGCTGTTCAAGACCAGCCTGGGCAATACAGTAAGACACCATCTGTATCAAAAAAATTAAAAATTAGCCAGGCGTGGTAGTACGCATCTGTGGTCCCAGCTGCTCAGGAGGCTGAGGATGGAGGATCACATAAGCCTGGGATATCGAGGCTCTAGTACACCAGAACCACGCCAAAAAAAAAAAAAAAAAAGTCCACAGTTAACATTATAGTTAACAGTGAAAGACTGGATGCCTTCCCCTAAGGTCAGGAACAAGACAAGGATATCCACTCTCAGTACCTATTCACCAATATACTGTACAATCTAACCTGATAATCAGAGAAAAAGAAGAAAGAAAGAGCATCTAGATTGGAAAGGAAGAAGTAAAATTGTCTCTGTTTCAAGATAACATGATCCTATATATAGAAAATCCTAAAGACTCCACTAAAAAAACTATTAGAATTAATGTTCAGGAAGATTGCAGGATATGAAATCAATATGCAAAAATCAATTGGAATTTTATATATTAGCAATAAACAATCTGAAAATGAAATCAAGAAAATCTCATTTACAATATCAAAAACAATAGAAATACATTTTTAAAAAGACGTATAAGACTTGTATACTAAAAACTATAAAATACATTGAAAAAAAAAGTTTAATTCAATACCTAAATAAATGGAAAAACATTCTAAGTACATGGACCAGAAGGCTTAATGTTGTTACAATGGCAATACTCCCCAAACTGATGTAATTCAAAGTGATCCCTTATCAAATCCTAGCTACATTTTTGACAGAAATTGACAGGCTGATCTTAAAATTCATATGGAAATGCAAGAGACCCATAATAACCAAACGATCTTGAAAAGAACAGAAATAAAGGACTCTTAATTCTAGGTTTTATAACTTACTATACAACTAAAGTAATCAAGACAGTGTAATACAGATATATAGCTAAGGATAGATATATAAATTGATATAACTGAGAATCCAGAAATACACCCTTATAATCAATTCAACAAGGTTGCCATAAAATTCAATAAAGAAGGTATAATCTTTTCAATAAATGGCACTGAAACAATTAGATATCCCTATGTAAGAAAATGAAGTTGGACCCCTATCTCACACTATATATAAAAACTCAAAGTGGCCGGGCGCGGTGGCTCAAGCCTGTAATCCCAGCACTTTGGGAGGCCGAGGCGGGTGGATCACGAGGTCAAGAGATCGAGACCATCCTGGTCAACGCGGTGAAACCCCGTCTCTACTAAAACTACAAAAAATTAGCTGGGCATGGTGGCGCGTGCCTGTAATCCCCGCTACTCAGGAGGCTGAGGCAGGAGAATTGCCTGAACCCAGGAGGCGGAGGTTGCGGTAAGCCGAGATCACGCCATTGCACTCCAGCCTGGGTAACAAGAGCGAAACTCCGACTAAAAAAAAAAAAAAAAAAAAAAAAAAAACTCAAAGTGGATCAAAGGCCTATATGTAAGAGCTAAAACTACATAACTCTTCAAAGGAAGCATGAAGACAAATGGTCATAATCTTGGATAACAAAATAGTTTTGTACTTGACATGAAAAACACAAACCAAAGAAAAAACTAGGTAAACAGGACTTCATAAAAATTTAAAACTTTAATTTCAAAGAACACCATTAAGTAGGAAAAAAAAAAAATGGAAGAAAAAAATTACAAGTCATATATCTAATAAGGGGCTTATATCCAGAATATATATTGAAAAAAATTCTACAACTCTAAAATAAAAAGATAACACAATTTAAAAATGGGAAAAGAATGTGAACTAACATTTCTCCAAATAAGATCTACAAATCAACAGCAAGTGCATGAAAAGATGTTCATGCCACTGCATTCAGCCTGGGCAAAAAAGTGAAACCCTATCTCTAAAAACTAAATAAATAAAAATCAATTTTAAAAATAGAAAAATGTGTCCAGGCATGGTGGCTCACGCCTGTAATCCCAGGACTTGGGGAGGCTGAGGTGGGTGGATGACTTGAGGCCAGGAGTTCAAAACCAGCCTGACCAACATGGTGAGACCCTATCTCTACTAAAACTACAAAAATTAGCCAGGCATGGTGACACGAGAAATGCTTGAACCCAGGAGGCGGAGGTTGTAGCGAGTCAAGATCGTGAGCCACTGCACTCCAGCCTGGGTGACAGAGTGAGACTCTGTCTCAAAAAAAAACAAAAAAGCTTCAATATCTTTTGTCATCAGGAAAAGGCAAATCAAAACCCACAACAAAATACTACTTCAAACCCACAAGGATGGCAATAATTACACAGATAATAACATATGTTGCCAAGGATGTACTGACATGCAAGTAAGCAGAACAATATGGCCCACAACCAGAAGAAATCTCAAATAATAACAAATGCGGAAATGACACCAATGACCAAATTAGCCAACAATTTTAACGTTAGCTAACAATGTTAAACTATATCATATAAACATACTCTATATGTTCAAGTAGGTATATGAAAATGCTAGCAAATGGAGGAAAGAAAAAAATCCTATAAAAATTTTTGGCCAGGTACAGTGGCTCATGCCTGTAATCCCAGCACTCTGGGAGGGTGAGGCAGACAGATCACGAGGTCAGGGGTTCGAGACCAGCCTGGCCAACTTGGTGAAACCCTATCTCTACTAAAAATATAAAAATTAGCCAAGCATGGTGGCACATGCCTGTAATTCCAACTACCCAGGAGGCTGAGGCAGGAGAATCACTTGAACCCAGGAAGCAGAGGTTGCAGTGAGGTGTTATCAAGCCACTGCACTCCAGCCTGGGTGACAAAATGAGGCTCCATCTTTAAAAAAAAAAAAAAAAAAAAAAAATTGTACTGGGAAAATCCTTTTTAAAAAGTTAAAAAAGAAAAAGAAAAAAAAATTTTTAATTTTTAGAGATGAAATATATACTAATTTAAGGTAAAGGCACTTTGAAAATGGTTAATAGTAAATTTGGCACTACAGAAGAAAACAGTAATAAATGTAATAATATAGCAATAGAAACTATCCAAACTAAATTACAAAGTGAAAAAATACTATAAAAAGGAAAAAGAAGAAAAAGAACAGGAGGAGGAAAAGAAAGAAAAAAACAGTATTGGCCCGGCGTGGTGACTCACGCCTATACTTCCAATACTTTGGGTGGCCGAGGAGGGTGGATCACCTGAGGTCAAGAGTTCAGGAACAGCCTGACCAACATGGAAAACTCTATCTTTACTAAAAATACAAAATTAGCCTGGTGCGGTAGCGCCATGCCTGTAATCCCAGCTACTCCAGAAGCCGAGGCTGAAGAATCCCTCGAACCTGGGAGGCGGAGGTTTCAGTGTGCTGAGATTAACACCATTGCACTCCAGCCTTGGCAATAAGAGTGAAACTCCATCTCAAAAAAAAAAAGCAGTACTGGAGAAGAATGGGAGATATCAAATGATCCAACATGAGTGTCACTGGAGTCCCAAATGAAAGTAGAAAAATAGATGAACAATAAAATATTAACCAAAATTTATCCAAACTTAATAAACACACAAATCCAAGAAGCTCAACAATCCTCAAATAAAAGAAACATGAATAAAAATATATCAGAGTATATCATAATCAAAATGCTGAAAACCAATAATAAAGAGAAAATCTTAAGAGCAACAAGAACAAAAAGACATATGTGAAAACGAACAAAAATATTAAAGAAGGTTTTTGGTCTGAAACGATGCAAGACAGAAGACAATGGAGAAATCTCTTTAAAGAACTAAGAGGAGAAACAAACTAAAAACTGAGAAAACTACAAAATGTCTTCATAAAGGCAAAATAAAGAATTATTCAGACAGACAAAAATTGAGATAATTTTCCACCAGCAAACCTACACTATAAGTAATGTTAACGGATATGCTTCAGGCCAAACAAAATACATCACATGTAAATCTGGGACACGAAAAGGAATGAAAGTGATTAATATTCTAAACATGTGGTAAGATACAAAGAACTTTTATCTCATTTTCTGAGTGTTTCAAATAATTGTTTAAAGCAAAAATAATAATGTATCATGGGGTTTATAACATACATAGGTGCAAAGTGTAGGGCACAGGCAGAACAAAGATCGCGGGGAACGAGCAGAAGCCTATTGTCACAAGCGTCTGCCATCATACATGAAGGCCAATAACTCTTTTTTTAAAAATCCTCAAAAGATAGCATAAAAAGAAGAAATAAGAACAAAGGAGAGATAAACGGAATAGAAAATAACAAGATGATCACTTTATATGCAGCCATATCAACAATTACATTAAATTCAAATTGTCCAAGCACTTGAATAGAAGCTTTTCCTTAAATATAAAAGCACAGATAACTAAAAGCATATGAGAAGATATTATCAAAAATATATCAAAACATTCCTTCTTCTCATTGCTAATATTAGTGATGTATGACTCTTCTTTTACATTCCTAATCAGTCTGGCTTGATGTTTATACATTTTATTAATCTTTTTA